CCCCAACTTTAGCAGCTGCTTTCACTTTTTAAACTGATAAGAACAGATACTACACTTGATCTTAGCCAAAAGGCCGAGAAGCGATTGCTTTCACTTTTTAGAAGAGCCTACTACAAGATGGTATTTGTTTTTAGCACAAAATTATATATTTACCCATTTGAAAATTAATTTGTCACTGTTTCATGGTATTCTGCAAGAAAGACAATGATTTCAAACTCTCTCTCCACCATCTGAAAAAGTTGGGGAACACCCAGTTTCTGCTGTCTGTCATGATTCAATTGAACAGCCCATGTTTGAGTCCTTATAACATACCAAGCACTGTGCTAGATGCTGTAAAAGATTTTAAAATGAGAACAGTAAAGCCTATGTCTTCCAGAAACTTACAATATAGTGGAGGAGACTCATGCATTTTGATTTTATTTTTTTGTCACCCTGTGATTTATTTTTGAGCTACTTTTCCCCTAGGTTCTTAACATAAAGGCTAGGGAATCAAGACTACTCACTGTATTCATTCAACAAATATTTATTAAAGACCTGTGGAAAGCAGTGTCAGTTACATTTTGTATATGTTCTGAAGTTAGAATCCCGGCTCTGCCACATCTGGCTATGCAACCCTGGGCAAGTCACTTCACTTCTCTCTGAGTCTCTTTTCTGTCACCTATAAAATGTGTGTGAAAATAGTATATTAATCAAAGTAATCTAACTGCTGTAATACACAACGAAATGGATGCTCTTTCTTGCTTGTAAAATAATCCAATGTGGATGGTTTGGCACGTGGCCTTCCTTCCACACGCTGACTCAGGCATCTGGGTTTCACTTTGTGGCTTCACCATCCCCTGGGGCCCTGAAGACACAGCCTGGGCGATGGTATTGGGCTGCCTAGAGATCTGAAGATGGGTAGGCATCATGTAGGTGACATGGAAGGACCAGGCAGCAGGATCAGCATGTACAAAGGTCCTGTAGTGAGAGAAAGCACATCAGAGGAACACAGAGAAGGCCAAGATGGCTGGTCCCCGGGAAGTGAGGGAGCGAGTGGGCTAAGGCGAGGCAGTGAAGATGGGCAGCCCACTGAGACCTTATAGAATGAAGAACAGAAGTTGGGTCTTTATCCCAAGGAGCAAAGGGCAGCTATCAGGGGGCTTTAAGTCAAGAAATGCAATGTGCTATCAGTGCTTCCCATCCACATGGCCTTGCCCTGACATTTTGGTGTACTGTGGGCAGTTGCAAAGGCTAGCACCTGTTTCTATAGCTGAGGACTTTCTCAGACCACAGAAACAGGCTTTCCTTGCCTGTGGAGCAGGCAGAGGTGCCAGAGGTTTAACAGCCCTTCCTCGCCCTCCATTCCCCCACCCCGCTGCTCCAGAACAGCCCTCAGCCTTATAGAACTTAGTAGACAAACACCCAGCTCCCTCCCTCCTCAGGTGAGATAACTCTGACCCACATGTTGTACACTGGCTCCAGAGGTCCCAGTGGGATCAAGTCCCAGGTGCTCACAGTGCAAACAGTCTGATCCTCCTTGACTGGCTCCCTCCCCTTCCCTGACTCTTTCACACTCCCCTGCCTGTGTTTCCTGGGGTCACTCTCTGAATAAACTCTGTACTTCTGAATCTTTACCTCAGGCTTTTAGGAGACCCCAAATAAGATGGTCTATCATAAGGATAATGGATTGGCAGGCAGCAGGGGTGGGGAGGGGAGGCCAGTTGTCGAGGCAGGAGATGCTGGGGCTTGAACTGAAGGACACTGGGCTCGGAGAAAGTGGAGGAAAAAATCATCAGAGCCAAGCTGTACAGCTGATGTGCAGGAAAAGGAGGAGGGCGATGTGCAGGCTGCCTCCGGGGCTTTGTCCTCCCTGGAACAGAGGGCAAGGGGAAAGGTCAAGATTACATATGTTAATGTTTTTGTGCATGTCACAGAACAGCTTGTAACCACCAGATTTTCTAAAACTCTCTGCTGTCTTCTTGCCCTGCCTTGACTCATCAGATTCTAGAACAATGTAGCTGCCTTCATTCAGGGAAGCTTGCGTTTCCTCCTGCAGGGCAGGATCCAATAACAGTGTTCTCATCCAATAAAGGAGGCTGGCGCACAGGGACAAAATATTGAATTAAAAACCATACCAGAACTGCTGAGCTCGCTCCAACCCCTGAACTGCCTGCACGTGCCTTTGCTCTGCAAACTAGTAGCAGGAGCCCCAGGGAAATACTCTCCAGGAGAGCAGAGAGGACGGGAGGGAGGACGAGGGAAGCAAACTCTCTGCCACAGTTGGCTGAGCCAATGCTGAGAGCAAGGATTCAGCTTCCAGAAATCCAGTCCTGAGCCGTCAGCCCTGGCCTCGGTCCTATCTCCATGAAGCTACCTTGGACGAAGAACTCTGAGATCAGGCATTCTTGGGTTTGCAGCCTGCCTCCACCATTCTGGTTGACTCCATGACCTTGAGTAAGTCCCTAAATACTCTGAACTGCAGTTTCTCTTGTTCACTGGCTCCCAGAGGTCTCCAGTGGGACAAGTCCCTGGCGTCCACAGTGCATCCTGCTTGATAACCCCTCGGCTGGCTGTCTTCCCTTCCCATCTTGCCATCATTGCTTCTGCTCTCCTTATTCTCTCACATTACATCCTGACTCCTTGCACATAGTGGGAAGCATGACTACCTGTAGCGTCCAGATTTAAATCCCACAACTTGTACCTTGGAAAGATGTGTTGTTCCAAGGCCCAGCACATGCCAGCACTGTACTTAGTGCTTATTTAATCCAAACAACTACTCTGTTCCCATCTTACAGATAATGAAACCAAGGCTCAGAAAAGTTAGGTAACTTGCCCAGGGTCACACAGTCATGTGTAGCTAGATTTCAGGTAAAATGGTGTAAGCCTTTTATGTTTTCTATTAACCATTGCATGCTACACTCCTTTATATAAGAAATCACCCATTTTCAAAGTGTTGGGGACCTCCGTGCCAGTAGGGGGGATGCCACTCTCTCTTTGATCATCCCTTATTATAGTATCCAATGTCCTACCTTACTATGTTCTCTCTCTTCTTCCACATGTTCACCCCTCCCACCCCCGAACTCTTCACTTTTTTCCTCTAAACGAGGGGTGGGGAACATCTAGCCTGCGGGCCATATGAGGCCCACGAAATCATTTGGTGTGGCCCTGCCAAGGCATTAGGGGTGAGTAAATTAAATGTTTGACCAAATATAACAGGCTAATTTTTAAGTCAATAATTTTGTATGGCCTGAGAATGATGTTATAAATACCCAAGTGGCCCTTAGCAGAAAAACGGTTCCACACTCCTGCAGACCTTCACCAGTCCAAATTACAAATTCCTGTCCTTAGCCCTTGGCCAGCAGCTTCCCCCACCACATCATCACCTTCCAGCCACTGCAATTGACATGGTAGTGCTTGCTGACATCCATGCCCTCACCTGCCTCCAAGAAAGCTTATCAAGGTATTCTCCAACCCAAACAGTTGTTTTCAGGAAGAAAACTGCCGCCCCCTATGAAGGTGATCAACATGACTCCACCATGTGTTTCAAAAGCCTGAAGCTGCCCTAACCGGTTTGGCTCAGCGGATAGAGCTTCGGCCTGCGAACTCAAGGGTCCCAGGTTCGATTCCGGTCAAGGGGATGTACCTTGGTTGCGGGGGCATCCCCAGTGGGGCGTGTGCGGGAATGGTCAAGGGGGTACCTTGGTTGTGGGCACATCCCCAGTAGGGGGCGTGCAAGAGGCAGCTGATCGATGTTTCTCTCTCATCGATGTTTCTAACTCTCTACCCCTCTTCCCTCCTCTCTGTAAAAAAATCAATAAAATATATTTTTTAAAAAAGCCTGAAGCTCAGATGTGGTCCAGAATGGAGCTAGGAGTTTGGAAGTGTTAAGGCCAACAGTTTGGGGTTGTTAAGGCCAAGCCATGGGAATATATGAGGTCACCCAGGGAGAGTGAGTGGGGTGAGAAGGGCAGAAGCCATGTCAAGGCCTCTGGGATAGGTTCAGACTCCTGGCTGAGGATGAAAATTGGGGAAAAGGAGGTGATTACACAAATCCATTGTCAGGGCAGAGACCTTGAAGGGGGAGCACCAGCCAGGCCCCTGGCAGCCCAGGAGCTTGGGAGGGTGTCGTTCAGGGTTCTTGTCATTAGGACAGAAATCCAACTTGACCTGGTCAAGTCAAAAAGGAGATTGTATTGGCTCCTGGTATCTAAGACAGATAGACTACTCAAAGCTGAAGCCAGGCAGTGGTGCCCTCAGAGGAAATTGGGCACCATGGGCTCAGGGGCACCATGGACTCAGAGGCTGGCAGGACCATCTCACTATTGACTTCTGCTTTCCTCAATCTCTCACATTACATGCTGACTCCATTCACCTAGTGGGAAGCATGACTACCTTTAGCCTCCAGATTTAAAGCCCAAACCTTGTACTTTGGAAAGAGATGGGCTCTGCCCCTAGATGAAATTCCAATGAAATGTTTCTGATTGGTTTAGCTTTGGTTGGGTGTCCACCTCTGGCCCAATTAACTATGGTCAGAGGGCTGGAGGCAAGTAAAAATATGCCTGCTCCTTTAGGGACCAGAAGGATAGAGGAAGGAGGCATGGTTCTCAGAAGGTGGGCTCAGAGGAAGACAGGGGGTACAGGGCGAGTATGGCAGGATGAAAGTAGGCCCCATACAAATGTGGACGTCCTTGACACCAGGAAATACTGACTTCAGCATTAAGTCCAAGGAATGCCTCTCCGAAATGAAAGCCACAATGTTAGAGAGCCAAACAGAGAGTCAGAGCAAGGAGAGCAAAGACTCAAGCCAAGCCAAAGAGCCCAAGCAGCGTAGCAGCCCAGGCCTTAGCTCATTGCCTGCTGGCTACACTGTGCATAGGCGCAGGTTTGGGTGGCCATGCCATGCTGCTCCTTCTTCTGGTATAATCTTTAGCGTTACCCGTTTCTCATTACTATCAAGGACCTTAAGATGCAGGATAACTTAGTTACTTGAGATGTGAAAGGTCCAAGCAGCCATGGCCAAGGAGAAAGTCCCCTATGTCGGTCCATCTGTGGTTGACCTATGGCTGCAGAACCTCAACTCCTGCCAGAGAATGTCACGCTCTGGCTCCAGCACTTCCCTTCTCCTCCTCCAGATTCAGGAATGGAATTCCAAGGCCCGGACACCTACATAACCGCCAGTGCTATGGAAACTGGATTTGGGTGAGTGGGGATCAGATGAGTCTAATCGTAAGGGGAGAATGGGGTGAGGGTAGAGGTTTCCACAGGGGCCAAAAATTCAAAAATGATAACAATAGCCACCACTGGTATGAGGTACTGAGTACTTATTACGCAGCCTGCACTGTGCTAAGAGCCCTTTTTGTGCATTTTTTATCATCAAAGCCCTATGATGTATTATTTTCATTCCCAAGAATTGAATCTCACAGACATTGAATGACTTGCCTAAGGTCACATGAGGCCCTGTCACCATCCATCACCTGGCGGACAAGAGCTCACCTCCCACAAATAAACTTATGACAAACATCCCCAACCCATTCTTTCAGCCATCGCCTCCCTAGGAAGCAGCTAAGCTGGAACTTGAACCCCACTCTGTCTCTCAGCTTTTTCTCTTCCCCAACCCTGAGCGTGAAAACAATCATTCGCCTTGGCATCCTTTTTACCTCTGTATCAGTCAGTCAGAATGCTTTGAGCTAAAAAAAAAAAACATCAACTTTGCTGATTAACAATGAGAAAAATGTATCAACTCAAAGATTAGGTTCCAAGGTATGATTGCTGCAGGGTCATTAATTCAGCAGCTCAATGGTGTCACTTCCATCTTCTCTCTGTGTCATCATTAGTGTGTTAGTTCGCCCACCTGTCACAAGACGGCTGTCACTCTTCTAGGCATCAGGTACAGAGGAGACCCCATCCTGCAAAAAAGAGGGGCTTTCTCTTTCTCAGAACAAGAAAACCTTTCCCAGAATCCCATGAGTAAACATTCCTTATGCTGTATCTCATTGGTCAGAATTGTTCCCATTCCTGTTTCCAAACCAGTCACTCACAGGGCAGTGGACACTTCATGAATGGCCATTGGATAAAGCCAAGCCCATGGCCCAATCAGGGAGAAAGAAGGCAGTGACTGGCTTGGGGTAGCAAACAAAACGCATGCTACTCCTCTCTTTTCTCTTTCCAACCCTAGTATCTTCTTTCTCTACCAGTTAACATTTATTCACCCTTCAAGAATCAATTCAAATATCATCTCTTTTGGGCAGTCTTCCCTGATTTTTTCCCCATGAGATTAACTGCTCTCTTCACTGTGCTTCCTAGGAACTTGGCACATGCTACTTACGTGGTCTTCACTACATTGTTATAGAGAGAGGTCGGGCTATACAGTAATTGGACCCAGGTTCAAATCCCAGGCCTGTTACTTCCTCAGCCTCCTCATCTGTAAAAGCACACACTTCTTTTTTGGCATTTTTGAGGATGAAGGCAGCTGGCAATGAATGTGTCCTGAAAGGAAGGGAGGGAGGAAAAAAAGAAACTATCAGGCTGGACTAAGCAAAACTCAACTCTCAGCAAGAAAAGCAAAAGTCATTCCAAGGTGCCAACCACCCGGCCCCCTTTCCCTGAAGCTCCCGTCTCCCTGGTTTTCCCAAGAAAGTCATTTTTCATCCCCAAAGTCATCTGGCGTAGAGAGAAGGGGGAGATGCAGTGGCAGGGTCTGCACTGTGCCTGCCCTGTCGCCATCCATCACCTGGCGGACAGGAGCTCACCTCCCACAAATAAAGTTATGACAAGCGTCCCCAACCCATTCTTTCAGCCATCGCCTCCCTCTTTCCATCATCTCTGACATTATAAGCCATCAGCCAAGCTGTTTGTCACGCCTCTGACAGGGTCTTCGCATCTCCGGCAGGAGGGCTGTGCTAAGGTATGGCTGGACTCAAAGGGGGGTGTCCCACCCCCACCTGTCATTAGTGACCTCAAGCTAGTATTTCACATGTGTGCTCAGAAAGGGTTTCTGTTGCAAGGGGAGGGGGTCCAGAGGTGGAGCAGAACTGAAGGGAAATTGAGCATTAGTGAATATCCCTACTGTGTGGTAACCAGCCACAAGAACCAGGCACAGGCCTTGCCCTTGAGAAGGGCCCAGCAGGGGAGTGGGAAACGAGCCATGTCCGCAGACCCAGTGCCAGCACAACTGTGGCAGAGGTAGTCTAGGGGACTGTGGGAGCACAGAGAAGGGTAGGAACATAGGGAAGTCTTCCTGGAGGAGGTGTCATTTGAGCTAAGACCTGCAGGACAAGGAGGAATAAGATGAAAGGGGGCAGTTTGAATGATTCCTTGAAAGGTCCCCTCTTTTCTCTGCAGGTTTGTCTATTTGTAAGCCTCAAATGTCAGAGTGGAGTGGAAGTTTGGGAAAGGGAAGAGAATCATATGCCAGGCAAATGTCGTGTATTAGTTTCCCAGGGTTGTCATAACAAATTACCACATTGAGTTGGTGACTCAAAACGACACAAATGTATTTGCTCACACAGTTCTCAGGGCTAGAAGTCTGAGATCAAGGATCAGCAGAGCTGGTGCTTTCTGGAGGCGCTGAGAGAACCCGTTCCACGCCTTTTCCCTAGGTTGCAGTGCCTATGGGCAAGCCTTGTTCCTTGGCTTACAGATTCATCACTCCAATCTCTGCCACTGCTCTGTTTTTACCTGGCCTTCCCCTCTGTGTCTCTAACTCAAATCTCTTCCTTTCTCCGACCTATAAGGACATCTGTGATTGGATTCAGAGCCTACACTAAATCCAGGAAGATCTCATCTCAAGATCTTTAATTACATTTACAGACCCTATTTTTATTTATTTTTTAAGACCCTATTTTTAAATAAAGGATTAGGACTTGGATATATATTTTTAGGGGGGCGGGGGCTTATGCAACCCAGTGCAGAGGCCAGAGAGCATGGTATACGCAGGGGACAGAGAGAGGTTACATGTAGCTAGAACATTGAAGAATTGAACATTGAAGTTCAGATCTCATCTCTGCCACCAATCAGCCAGATGACCTAGACCAAGCCCCTTAACTTCTCTGAGTCTCAATCTGCTCATATCCAATGTGAATTGCCCTCTGGACCTCTGAGGACTCTGATGAAGGTGAAATGTAGTCACTCTATTAAAGGGCCAGCTCCTCAATGGGAGTATATCCATCAGAAATCTTTTGGTTGCAAGAGACAGAAACCAAACCACACTGGCCTAAGCAAAAAGAGGATTCATTAGCCAAAGAGCCCAGGAATAGAACCGCGTCAGGCTCTGCTGGGTTCAGGGGCCCAGGTGATGCATTCAGGATCCAGTTTCTTTCCACCTAGCCTCTCTGTCTTGTGCTGCATTGTTTCATTTTCAGCGTTCCCCAGGATGGCCCTTTGTGCTGGTATCTTCCTTGGGCCCTACAGATCTGCTCTCTACCTTTATCCACTCTGCTTTGTGGCATGGAGGTTGACCTGAACGAACTGCATCAGCAAGCTCCCCTTGCCCTCTGGCTTCCAGTGGGGTCCAGCCAATGAGAAGTAATGACAGGCAATCAAGGAAGGGAGAAGATGAAGGTTGATTATTTCTCCCTCCTGGGTTTCTCCTGTCAGATCCGTCTACCAAAGGTCCTAACTCCTATCAGGTAGCTGCCTCTAAAGCCACAGCTATCCTTCTTGGATTCTAGCAACCACATCCTGCTATTGCCCGTTAGGCCGAGGGGTGCTAAAGTCCCCACTGTTATTAGGCCAAAGGAACAGCACCATCCATCCTTTGTGGGATTCCCTAAACACTATTGACACCTTTGTCAATAGTCCCTTTATTATACTCTCTGGAAATTACTATTTGAGTGCCTCTGTTTCCTTTAAGGATCTTGCCTGATACACCCCGGCAGCTCTTAGGTCTACCTGACCCTCCTCTCCAGGTGATAAGTAAGCCACACAATGATAGACTGTTACACTGGTGGCCCCGAGTAAACCATGCCTCCCAGGATCCACTCCCGCTGGAGTCCCCTCCTCCGCTGAATGTGACTGGCTTTGGACAATAGAATGTTAACATCTATGATACAAAAAGGCTTCATAAGCACTTGTCCATTTTGCCTGATGTCTTAAAATGCTCCCTCTTAGGATCCTGCTGTCATGCTGTAAGAAAGTATAGGGAAAAGAGCTCTGGGAAATTGCAGGTCGTGTGGGGGGAAAAAAAAGGCCACACAGAGGAGAACTGAGGTACTCCAGCTAACAGTCTCCACCAAGCTTCCAGGACCTGAGAGAAGCCTTTGTAACAAGGGGGATGGCGGTCTGCCCCAGTGGGGTGGGGTTTTAACACTAACATTGTTTAGAATTGCCAGCGTCCAGATTAAAAGCAGATTGACTTTTAGTCAGTGTTATTATCATCTTTAAGCTTTCTGCAAAACATGCTTCTCCTTATTGCCCGTGCCTGCGCTGGACCAATCCTCCTCCCCCCACCCCCATTATTGCTTTCCGGCCCTTCCAGTCCGGTCACAGCTGAATGCAGCCGCATGAGTGACCCCAGCCAACACCATATGGAACAGAAGCACCACTGTCAACCCACATAATCCTGAGAAATAATAAATCATTATTGCTTTAAGCCACTAAGTTTTGGGGTCATTTGTTACACAGCAAGGAATAATTGAAACATACCAGCAGCTCCAGCAGTGCTATATATTGTTACAGGTTCAAGTGCAGCTAGAAAGAGCCAGACTTTTCTGGCAGCTCCTGCAACAGTCCTTGAACTCACTCTGATTGGTTCCCCTCCAGTCATGTGCCAGCTAGAAACCATTTGCCAGACCAGGGGAAAGTGATGATGTGCTGATTGGATTAACCTGGGTCACATGCTTTGTCTCTGGATCAGGAGGTGGTGCCCCACTTGAACCACAGGGACTGAGAGTGGGAGAGAGGGAGGGTCCTACAGGAAATGAGAGAAAAGGGGGCTGGATGCTAAGGACACGTTATGGAGCTGAAGCTCGGGAAAATCATCCGTGGTGCTCCCTATCCAGCCACCATTTGCAAATGGATAAAAGTGGACTCCAATACAAAGGACCCCTGTGGTATGGTTAGGAGACCATAAAACTTTGGTCATGGACAGGCCTGGCTTCTAACTTCCTTTTTGGAAGCTGCTCTGGGCTCAACCTCTGTGAATTCATCTGTAAAAGAGGTTAGCTAATTCCTGCACAGATGGGTGGTAGTGGGGGTTCCATCAGATCATGGCTGCTGTAGACAGAGAGGGGCTCCCAGGCATCTCTTCAAGAAAGGGCTCGCCGCCCAGCACGGGGAGTGCGGTCAGCAGGCAGTCGCCAGCTGTCATCTCTGTCAGGTCTCCTCAGCTGTAGCCTGAGGTCACACCCTTCCCAGGGCAGCCTGCATCCGGTGACTGGGCGAGGGGTTCAGAGGCCTGGCCAGGCAGCGCTCATTCCCGAGCTCCCTGCCTGGGTGGTTGAGGCTTGGAGAACCGGCATCCGTTGGCTTCTCTGCCTGACCAAGGCTGCTTTCTCCCTTTCCTTTTATAGGTGTTGGTCCCTAATCAATACCTTGTACCACAAACTCTGCTCATGGAGATCCCCGCCTGTGAGAGATGTCAAATGCTTAACCCAGCACTTGGCACTTAGTAGACAGTTGGTAAAGGTTTGCTGAGTGAAACTGGCTCCTTGCTCGGAGAATGAAAAAAGGGGAACAGAGGGCGGGCGGATGAGGGAGGCTGGTGTGGGGACTGCCAGGCATTAAGCAGCTGTTGTCATGAAGGGGCCTGCAGGCTGGCAGAGGCAGCTCCTTCCTCAGAAGGCAGAGGAGGGTCCCTCCAGGAGCACCCTCCCTACCCCATGCCTCTGCAGCCTCCTGCCCGCCAAGCAACTGCCTCAGTTATGAACGAGGCCTCCCTCCTCAGAGCCTGAAGACAGGGACAAGGTGGGCCTTTCCTCCAGGCTCGTCCTGGCCCCAGCTGGCCTGTGTGGGATCCTGGGCTGTGGTGGTCCCGGAAGATGGCAGAGGCCACTCAAATCCTGAAGCCCAAGCCTCCTCCTCTGTCTGTGGAATCTCAGAGGTCGGGAATCTCGGAAGGGGAGGATCGGCATCCCAGGGCCGTCTTCACAAAACCGCAAACAATGCTCGGAACAAGGGACTCTGATTTTCAGGCTGGAAGGGGCCAGCCAGGCTCTTTGTTTTTCTATCTCAAGACTTTCTTGGAAGCCCTGGTCCCTTTTTCAGACCATCCATAGGCTCAGCCCAGAGATGCAAGAACATTAATGACCCTGAGCAACACTCAACCCCTGGGGGAATGGGAGCTGGGTGGGTAAGTGCCCTCGCCTCCTATCCTTTGGGTGAACAACTCTACATAGTACTCAGAGGGTCCTCCAGTGGCCCACCACAGCGACCAGCTCCTCCCGTCTCCTCACACCCCCACTCCTGCTTCCTGCGGTCACCTCCCCCCAAAATCACGTGTGCCCAAGTCCTTCCCCCAGGCTCTTCTTTTGGGGAACATAATTAA